ATGGTCAACTACTCTTTGACAAAGCAGGAAAGAATGTCCAATGGAACAAAGACAGTCTCTTCAAAATGGTGCTGGGAAAATTGGACAGCCACATGCAGAAGAATGAAACTGGACCATTTCCTTACACCACACACAAAAATAGACTCCAAATGGTTGAAAGACCTCAATGTGAGACAGGAGTCCATCAAAATCCTAAAGGAGAACACAAGCAGCAACCTCTCCGACCTCAGCCGCAGCAACTTCTTCCTAGAAACATCACCAAAGGCAAGGGAAACAAGGGCAAAAATGAACTATTGGGACTTCATCAAGATAAAAAGCTTTCGCACAGCAAAAGAAACAGTCAACAAAACCAAAAGAGAACCGACAGAATGGGAAAAGATATTTGCAAATGACATATCAGATAAAGGGCTAGATCTAAAGTCTATAAAGAACTTATCAAACTCAACACCCAAAGAACAAAGAATCCAATCAAGAAATGGGCAGAAGACATGAACAGACATTTTTCCAAAGAAGACATCCAAATGGCCAACAGACACATGAAAAAGTGCTCAACATCGTTCAGCATCAGGGAAATCCAAATCAAAACCTCAATGAGATACCGCCTCACACCAGTCAGAATGGCGAAAATTAACAAGTCAGGAAACGACAGATGTTGGTGGGGATGCGGAGAAAGGGGAATCCTCTGCACTGTTGGTGGGAATGCAAGCTGGTGCAACCACTCTGGGAAACAGTATGGAGGTTCCTCAAAAAGTTGAAAATAGAGCTACCATATGATCCAGCAATTGTACTACTGGGTATTTACCCCAAAGATACAAATGTAGGGATCCGAAGGGGTATGTGCACCCCGACATTTGTAGCAGCAATGTCCACAATAGCCAAACTGTGGAAAGAGCCAAGATGGACATCGACAGATGAATGGATAAAGAAGATGTGGTATATATATATATAATGGAATATTATGCAGCCATCAAAAGGAATGAGATCTTGCCATTTGCAACGATGTGGATAGAACTGGAGGGTGTTATGCTGAGCGAAATAAGTCAATCAGAGAAAGACATGTATCATATAACCCCACTGATATGAGGAATTCTTAATCTCAGGAAACAAACTGAGGGTTGCTGGAGTGGGGGGTAGCGTGGGAGAGATGGGTGGCTGGATGATAGACATTGGGGAGGGTATGTGCTATGGTGAGCGCTGTGAATTGTGCAAGACTGTTGAATCTCAGATCTGTACCTCTGAAACAAATAATGCAATGTATGTTAAGAAAAGAAAAAAGAAGATAGCAGGAGGGGAAGAATGAAGCGGGGGAAATTGGAGGGGGAGACAAACCATGAGAGACGATGGACTCTGAAAAACAAACTGAGGGTTCTAGGGGGGAGGGGGGTGGGAGGATGGGTTAGCCTGGTGATGGGTATTAAAGAGAGCACGTTCTGCATGGAGCACTGGGTTTTATGCACAAACAATGAATCATGGAACACTACATCAAAAACTAATGATGTAATGTATGGTGATGAACATAACAATAAAAAAATTTTTAAAAATAAATAAAATAAAATCTTTTTTTAAATGCCTAAAAAAAAAAAAAAGACTTCACCTTTACTTCAAAGTTCACTTCCTTTTTTTCTGAAACCTGCCCCTTAAGTTTTCTTAGAGCCTATTAATAATAAAGTAATGCAGAAAACAAAGAGTGCTTTTGCTCCTTTCTGTCCTTTTTTAAAAAGGATATTACCATCAATGACTGGGAAGTTCAGAACTTTTATATTTACCACAAAAGAGTCTCATAAATAAATTCAATAAAGCAAAAGCTTAAATCAGCACAGAAAACTCGGGTGGAATGAGTCATGACCTGGACTGCACCAATGGGGACAAAAACAATCAACACAAAATTTTAAAACCAGAAGGTATTCCTTTATATTCCTAATCAACCAGGCTAGAAAGAAATACTTGCACATGGATTCTAGAGAGAAATAATATCTGCTTTGCACAGAATTTAAGAGCTAAAAGGGCCTTAGAAATCACTTATACTGATCCTCTCATTGTGTTGGTTGAAACTGAAGCCCAAAGAGGGTTAAAGAAGGAAATAGTGAATTCACCAAGCTCATCAAGAACCTCAAGAAGACATTTAAGTTAAATAATAGATAAGAAAATAAGCATGCCTCTGACCTAACTAAGGGCCAGGTTCAACAGCATAAAATACAGAAGTGAAATAAAAAGCAAATAGTAACCAAAGAGAAACATCTTGTTCTAGCAAGAAAAACTGTCCTCTAGCATCCTTGCCTAAGAGTTGAAAAAAATCCTAGCACATCAAATCTGATTCACTAGGTAGTTCTTTTTACCCTTTTTTGATACAAGTTCCCATTATTCTTCATGACTCTGACCATTCTAACTTTTGTTTCCTCAATGAGATGCATATTTTGGGGCTTCAATTATACTATATACAGTTTGCAAAAGCAGAGACTGTGTCATTATCTTTTGTATAACTCCAAAGGATATCTATCAATATATTGATAATATATTCATAGAGTCTTAACCAATGCTTAGTGAATTAATATATAATCTAATACAACCAGTTCTCCTGTATTAGATCTCCTTTGTTTAATTTTCATTAGAAGTTACGCTCGAAGGGAATTTCTGACTGATTTATGGTTCCTTTCTCCAAGTCAAAAGCTATACAGCAGGCTTTATATATTTATTTGCTTAATAAATTATTGTTCACAGAAGTGATTATGGAAAACTATAACAGGGGCTGCATAAGTAGGGAGTTTGAGGAGTAAGAATAGGTAGAACATTCAAAGGTAACATTAATGGAAAGAATAAAATACTAGTAATTTTCTAAAACTGTTAGAATATTTACATACAAGATGAATTAGTAAAACAAGTAAGTTCATAGAGGCCCATCCTATTTAATACTTTTATAATTGTCCCCCAAAATGGGATTGAGAAAGTACACATCAGGATTGGACACAGGGAGGGCTGTCAACCCCATAGAAAATAAGACTTGAGTTCAAAGTAATCTTTAGATAAATATTCATTTAAAAAGGATAAAATAGTAAGGAGTTTAAAAATAAACAATAATACAATTAAACCAACAATGATAGAAAATAGGAAAAGATTAGCAAACAGAACACAGAATAATAATCTGAAAATGAAATAGCAGATATCTTATTTAAAACATTTTCATTATATAAGAACAAGTTACAAAAGTATATTACTTCCAAATAGAATTGTAATTTTTTTATTCTAAAAGTAATGGTCAGGGACTCTTGGATGGCTCAGTCGGTTAAGTGCCCGACTCTTGATTTCAGCTCAGGTCATGATCTCAGGGTCATGAAATCAAGCCCCACATTGGGCTCTGCACTGGGTGTGGAGCCCGCTTAAGATTCTCTCTCTTTCCCTCTGCCTCTCCCCCCACCACACACACATTCTTGCTCTCTCTAAAACAAAAAAAAGGAACGGTCAAACACTTACCAATGAGAATTCTCACTAATAAGTATTTGTTTGATAATTGCATATTTTAAAAGGTCACACACAAAATGAAAAGGACTCAGAAAATCAGCAACAAAAAGTCTAATAGCCCAGTTAAGTACTGGGCTATTTTTAAAACTAGAAAATTGAGACATGTTATAATTGTCAAAAAGTATATAAGAATTAAAAAATATGGAAAAAAATATACAAAGCAGTATGTGAAGGGAGATGAAAAACAGGGCTAACACTTATTAAGCTACTCTTATAAGCTTAGCTTATAGGCTGGTCTTTTTATGAGGTAGGCACTTGATTTGCAGTATTTGTGTGGGTGTGTGAATGCACACGTGCACACATATATATACATACATATACACACACTGTGTGTATATGTATGTATACACACATATATGTATACACACACTCGTATGTATATATATGAGTGATTTTTTTAAACTCATTTAATCCTTAACAATAACCCAGAAAGGAATTAATATTATCATTATTCAGATGTAGAAACTGAAGCTAAGATTGTCCAGTCTTCCATGGCTTCAAATGACACAGCTGGGATACGAACAAGCTCACCTGAATCTTAGATCAATTAAGAAAATAAGCACTTTCTCCCATCTCTAGAAGATATAATTCTTAAATTATATCAGAAAAAACTTAGTTTATATAAAGAAGAAACTTTTTTTTTTAAGATTTTTATTTATTTATTTGACAGAGAGAGAGAGACAGACAACTGAGCCACCCAGGCGCCCCCAGAAAAGTTACTTCTTGATATGTGCCAAATCCAGATAGATATGACATTAAAACAATAAAAAATAAATAATAAATAATGTTTCCAATGTTTTAAGCATTCACCTGCTTTCTAGACCAGACTAAGTAAAGATAGTCCTAACCTAAATAACCCTGTTAGAATTATGCTTTTAGGGGCGCCTGGGTGGCTCAGTCATTAAGCGTCTGCCTTCGGCTCAGGTCATGATCCCAGGGTCCTGGGATCGAGCCCCGCATCGGGCTCCCTGCTCCGCGGGAAGCCTGCTTCTCCCTCTCCCACTCCCCCTGCTTGTGCTCCCTCTCTGGCTGTCTTTCTCTCTGTCAAATAAATAAAACCTTTAAAAAAAAAAAAAAAAGAATTATGCCTTTATAATTCTAGGTGATCTATATATAGCAGCTGTAGGACTTACGTTTAAATAGTTTTAGCATGAATCAATAAAACTGTACAGGAATTGTACAAAAACCATTAATTAACCTTAAGAATTTTTCAAATAAAATTCAGTACAAATTACCATCATTTTAACACATGGAGTTTTAAGGGTAGAGTAAGGGACAAAGGGCTAAGAAAAAGGAGAAAGCAAGTCCCGTTTTCTTCCACATTTGGTGGCTCGCTTTAATGCTCTTCCCACCGGTAACTTGTTATAAAATTACTGATAAAATTCCAAAGACCAATATTCTCAAACATTCTAATTATAAATAAAGCCAAGACACAGCACAGCAAAAATGGCTAAAAAAAATACAAAATGAAATGTAAGACATACCTGAGATACATCATCAAGTTGAGGTTTTCCATAAAGGCTGGAAAGACTCTCTGCTCGCATGAGATACTCTGCTGTTCTTCTCTTCACAGCTTCTCGACGGGTCGGGCTTGACTCTCCTAAAAGGAGAAAACAAAGCCAGGACATGTGAAAAATAAACAAATTTTCTTTTATCCAATCTGAAGATTAACTTTTTACCCAGTTCATCACTTGTTCACATTTCTAACTAAAAAGAAGAGAGATTCAAAATTGGAACAGACATCAAAGTTATTAGTATCAGCAAGGTCTAAATATTACCACCATAAATTTGATTTATCCAAATTCAGAAATTTTCCTATTTAAATATATAGAGAGAACTTGATACCTTTTATAGGAGGTATTGATATAAAAGAAATGTAGTATAAAAAAGCTCTGCAAACAGAAAACTAGCCTAATCCAGGCAGTATGCAATTCCAATTCAACAAATTGGGACTAAATGCAGTAGATGTGTAGTAAGAGCCACCACATGGATTTGATATGTCTTTCTAAAAGTACCACCAAACTGGAGAATAAAATTACTTAGGGTAACTCTGAAGTCACTCTGATTTTTGTAAGCTTCATGGTTTTTTCATTAACAACGAATCGTCATCCACCTTATGACTGAAAATAAGAATGTAACTGAAATGTATGTTAACCAACTGGAATTAAAATAAAAACTTTTAAAAAAGAGAAAAAAATAATGTAATTGAAATCCCTGTAATATATAATTATAGGAAAATGAACAAGTCATTGACCCTGTCTCTGTCTCTTTCTCTAAACAAAGGGTATCCAAAGAACTCAAGACCTCGAAAAAGAGGTGGTCTAGCCCATGAAGGAAGTACCGGGCCCTCTCCTCTCTAGACTGGAATGATCCTAAGCTTTTACCCATTTTATATACCTGACTGTGATACAACATTTCGTTTGAAGAAAGGACTCCATGACTGAAAGTTTGAAAACCACTGTACTATATGATCTCTAAGGCTCCTTTCATAATATTCTATACATTTACGACTCATTTTTATCAAAGCACTTCATACACAGTACTTTTCTGCATTTTCTGAATGAAGTTAACCAAAAAGCAAGGATCATACAGTGGAAAGTGCCCTTGATTACATTCTGGAAACCATGGTTATCTAAATTCTGGCTCTGCCTCTCACTAGTCATGTGACCTATGATAAATCACCTCAACTCTCTGACCCTCCTCCTCATTCTCTAAATATATACTTCAAATGACTGCAGAGATTAAAGGAGACTATACATAAAAGACACCACAACAAAGACAGTTGTATACAAGAAGCACTAAATTGTAAAGGTTTTCAATCTTGGCTTCTCTCTAAACCAAATCCTACAAAATAACGTTCCTGTGTTGCTGAAGTGAACTGAACTGAATTATAGTAAAGCAGGTATTTTCCCCCCAAAGACTACTAGTAGAAAAACCTTATTTCTGCCTAGAATAGCATCTTCTATTTCTTCTGGGTAATGGCCCTTACTTCTCCCCTTTGTAGCCCTCCACCTCTCCACTTCCACTACCAGCCCTTGACAAGGTGGTGTGAAAGAAAACTGCATTCATGTTTCAGATCTCTGTTCCTCTGCCCCCTACTAGTCAGTCAAGGGTGAGTCCTCTGTCACAAGCTGGACCAATGACAGAACCCCACCCTCTTGGCCACAGTTGGAAAAGGGAGGAATTGGCCCAACACAAACTGGGCCAATCAGTCCCCCTCTGCTATTGACGCTGGAAATAAGAGGACTGGGAACTGCCAGCAGCCTTAGTTTCTGCCAATGCGCAAAGAACCAACCAGAAAGAGGGACTTTAACAGAGAGAAGCAGTTATGAGAGACAAAAAAAGGAATCCTGGTGTGACTGGGGTCCCAGATTTCAGCGGAAGCTACATTCCTGCCATTCTTTGCCTACTGCAGCTCAAATGTGAATTTTCTCACATGCAAACCGAAGAATCCAGACTGAATAGAGCCCTCAAAGAAAAACAGCAAGCAAATTGGGATTGTAATTTTGCTAAAAAAAAAAAAAAAAAACAAAAAAAAACAACCTTCTTTTCACAATTTTTACATTACTATTCCATCTCTTCTCTCCTTTATGAGTAACTCAAAAATATAACTAGTCTTGCGGGCAAGAATCTCTATCACTTCTTAACCACGGAATAGTCTACATTTATTAACTCTCCAACTCCTCAAACTTCAATTAAAATTACAATATCAGTATGATTCCTGCCTCTGTTCTTAAAATTCACTGAGTTTCTAAACCCAATCTTTTATTTTTATACAATGTATCTGTGAAAGTGACCTAAGTAATTGAAACATGTTGTGAAGGTAAAATGTGCCACATAAATAAGAAACATTCATTATTTCTACACATTACTCCTCCTTTAGTTTTGAGTTTACTGTTCATGAACTCTGCTACTTCCATTATCATGAGCACTTCTCATTGCAGGTTCTACCTTTCATGCCCTAATTTAAATCTCCCACTTAAAATTTCTGATTCAGCATAGGCTAAACTGTAATAGAAACTATGGCAATTTAGTTTTTTAACTCAGTGTGATTACAAGCTTTAACACAACTTCAAAATTTGCTTTATTCAAAAAAATTAATTTGTCTCCCAAAATAATATGAAATTCAAAACTGCCAAGACTATGGAGCACCTAATTCAAGCTAGAGTTAAAACCACAGTTTGTAATCAAATCACTGTTTTTTAAACTTTGGGTATCTCTGCTGCTTTCTAGGCAGTCTCCATAGTAACAGAGAAACAAGAACCGGAAGCCAGCAGTTGAAATGGGACTCCTGCTGCTGACAGTGGTTCTGCTTCCATGGAAACAACAATGAAGTGATGGAATACTGAAGGCTTTTTAAAAGTAACCTTAAATATACATACTATGACTCCTTCCCTACCAGCCCCTTAAAAGTAGGTCACAACCACTGCTGATCAATAGTAGCAGCCAAGGATGAAAATCACCTCTTGCAGATTTCTACTGCTGGACACTTACTGAGGTTTGTGAAGTACTAGGAAGAAAAGATTAATCTATGGATTTCCAGAATAATTTTAACTGATCAAATTATTGATAAATATGACTTTAAACAGATATCAACTGGTTAAAAATTCTCCATCAACTCTAACCTTATCTTCATCTTCATGTTAAGACACACACACAGCCCATAATGAATATTTTTCAAGGAAAATTAGGTTATCTGGAATTCAACTTTTAATCCCATATTGGGTCATGTAACCATTATTTCTTCAGTATTATATCCAGGTAGACACTTAATAAATGCTTTTAAAAATGGATACATATTTTACATTCCACCTAAAGATAAACCAGTACCTTCATTAAGTTTCTCTACATTTCTGTTAATAATTTGGATACAGTAAGAATTTCCACCATGCTCTGGCATTCAAAAGAGAAAACCTACTCTCATTATTTACTAACCTTTATGTCAAAAAGTTCCACTGTACCAGAAAAAACGTCTTATGTATATTGTGTCAACCTTATCAATTTCTGATCAGGAGAGAGGATGGATATAGGGTGATTACAGAGTATGATCTGTGAAAGAATCGGGTGTAGCTGAACAGAAATGAGAAAGTCCAAAGTTGTCCCTGAAATTTTTAGAAACACTGCACTGACTATCCTGCGTGTCTCTGAGCACCAACTCTGACTTAAGTTACTAAGTTTTATAGAAGGGACAGTCTATAGATAATGGAATCATGAAATTCTAATTTATTTAAGAAGCCATCACCTCTTGGCACTCCTTCATAATATTAAATCCTGTTTATAAGAGATATATTACCTTCCTTATTTAACTGAGGAACTTAAGGCTCAGGAATGTGGAATGTCTTTCTTAGCAAAGTTATTATGAGACTAAACTGAAACCAGGTCTTATGATACCATGCTTCAGATGATGAAGTGGATTGCGCTACTGTTACTGAGTAGAACAAACAAGAAAAATACAGAGCATGGGATAAGTACGAGTGAGTACGGGAAGAAAGATGAAGAGAAAATAAGCATAGCATAAGAGTTGAGACGGGAGCCTATCAGACAAGATAGCAGAGTACAATTAGACAGAAAGAGACTGAGATGACAGACAAGGACACAAGAAAATTAGAGCTACAAAGGGGTATAAATTTCACACTGTGTGAAAGAGAATGGGCCTTTCTAAGAAACAGTGGTCTCTCAAAACATCCTTGTTACCCAAGGATTTCTTTGGAAAACACGGGCCTTTTCTCATTTACCCATAAAAAAACCAAAAGGCGTTTTTATTCACAGAAGTAGTGAAAATCAGTTTCACAAACTAGAATAAAAAGTAGTTCTTCCAATTCTGTTGTTCTACCCTTAGCCACCAAAAAGAATATTGCAAATGCCTCATCATTGGTTCAACAAAAGAAAAGCAATGCTGAAGGAAAAATTAACAATGCTAGACTACTTGAAAGTAAATACGTCTTTTATGGAAAATTTTAAGGGATTTTTAAGAGTATTTTGACTATACCTGATTTTTGCTACTCGCACAGAATTTAATCCCCACATAAGACTCTACTTAGGCACATCTTATATTCTTATCTCTATTTCTCTATTCCAACAAACACTCTCCCAATAGCCCCTCTGCCACTGTGTTCCTGGTCAAACATGCCAGGTTTTTAACTCAGATTTATCATATTAGAAAGAACATTCAAATCAATGTGGGTTTGAGGGAATGAGTTTTTGTTTATTGGTGCTTTTTTTTTTTTAACAACTTTAGTAACATAAAAAAAATGTGCCTGTTTGAGATGGCCTTGGTGGTTACAGTTGTTTTTTTTTTTTTAGTGTTGATTTATTATAGTTAATGGGTTTTTTGTTCTTTTCAGGTATAGCCTACCATTTCTGACTTATGCTAAGTGTTCTGACAACAAAAGGCAACCTTGAGAAAAACAGTAATTTATGTTCTACATGTTTACCACAACTGGGGCCATCAGCCTCTCCACATAGAACAAAACCCGGTCAGTCAGGGAATCTGCAACCCATTTGCATTTAACCAAACCCATATTAATGTCTTTTCAAAACCAAGTGTTATGTGACCCTCTAGAAGTTCAAAAAGTCACCAAAGAATAGTAAAAGCAAAAG